GCCTCGGATAGCACCCCCCCCCCCTCTGTAGATCTTAGAAAACTATTTCTTGATTTAAGGCATTGGCATGCTGGCTGATATCTGAACAAGGGATGGACCAGAGATATCAATGCCTTCGTCCTTTCATTATTGGCTGCTACTTCCCAGCAGATGTCAAGTGGTGCAATACCAGCTAAACAGTATAATTTCTTCAGTGGTGTAGGATGCAGACACCTTGTGATAATGTGACATGTCTCATTAAGAGCCACATCCACTGTTTTAACGTGGTGAGATGTGCTCCACACTGGGCATGCATATTCAGCAGCAGAGTAGCAAGGGCAGATGTCTTCACTGTATCTGGTTGTGATCCCCAGGTTGTGACAGTCAGCTTTCGTGTGATTTTTTTTTAGAGCCCACTTTTTGCTTGATAGTCAAGCAGTGCTTCTTGTAAGTCAGAGCACTGTCCAAAGTGACTCCCAGGTATTTTGGTGTGCTGCCGTGTGTCACTGTGGCTCTGCATCTCGTGGTCCGAAAGCTCAGTCTATTCAGTGCCTTCCAAGTTGCCCAGTCTGCTGTGTGGCCAGGAGGGAGTCTCTCATTTGGTATCAGCCATGGATTGAGGTTCTGAGTTTTAGACTGCCGCTTTTGGACTCTCGCTTGCTGAGGTCTTCCTGAGAGTATCTCTGCAGATCTTGCAAAGCTATTTCTTGATTTAAGGCATTGATGTGCTGGCTGATATCCGAACAAGGGATGGGCCAGAGATGTCAATGCCTTGGTCCTTTCATTATTGTAAACAGTATAATTTTTCCAGTGGTGTGGGGTGTAGACATCCTGTGATAATGTGGCATGTCTCATTAAGAGCCACATCCACTGTTTTAATGTGGTGAGATGTGTTCCACACTGGGCATGCATATTCAGCAGCAGAGTAGCAAAGTCCAAGGGCAGATGTCTTCACTGTATCTGGTTGTGACCCCCATGTTGTACCAGTCAACTTTCGTATGATATTGTTTCCAGAGCCCACTTTTTGCTTGATAGTCAAGCAGTGCTTCTTGTAAGTCAGAACACTGTTCAAAGTGACTCCCAGATATTTTGGTGTGCTGCAGTGTTTCAGTGTGGGCAAGTGCTTTGGGCATTCACTTCTTTTCATCTCAGAAAGAAGAATGTGAAATGTGAATAGGAAGACCAATGGGACCTCCAAATCCCCCTGCTAATTACCATAAGAGTAGATGTAATGAATGAAATAATAACAACAAATTTGTTTGATTCTAAGATGACATCAGTTGTGAGACACACACTCATTTCAGTACCATCTATAGAATACACACCGAGAGATAGAAAGAGAGAGTAGAGTCCCGCTTATTCAACCTTTGCTCATCCAATGCTCTATTTTATCCAACGCAGTCTGCCACCCGCCCGGATCCACAGCTGTTTCAACATTATGATGTTTTGGTGCTTAATTCGTAAATACAGTAATTACTACATAACGTTACCGTATACTGAACTGTTTTTTCCTATTGATTTGTTGTAAAACATGATGTTTTGATGCTTAATTTGTAAAATCATAACGTAATTTGACGTTTAAGAGGATTTTCCTTAATCCCTCCTTATTATCCAACATCTTCGCGTATCCAATGTTCTGCCGGCCTGTTTATGTTGAATAAGTGAGACTCTACTGTATATATGACTCTGTGATTCTAAGAGACACTGTATTTTAGATATGTTTATATGGAGGGGGGGATGTATGTTTTATAATCAAAGAAATACAGTAATGATGATGACAATGACGTAGAACCGACTATGATTTCTCAGGAGTCTTAGTACATACTACCTGTCTCCCAGAAATAATGTGAAAAGGGGTGCCAAATGTTAGCCATCATTTTCATCAATGATAAATATTCTTATTGATGAAGATGATGTAGCATTGTGTTAGAGTCATGTAGATCAGGCATGGGCAAACTTTGGTCCTCCAAGTGTTTTAGACTTCAACCCCCACAATTCCTAACAGCCTCGGGCCCTGCTTTAGTGGCTAAGGAGGAAAAGGGAATCGCCTGAGGCTGTTAAGAATTGTGGGAGTCAAAGTCCAAGCACCTTGAGGGCCCAAGTTTGCCCATGCCTGATGTAGATGATGTAGCCTTGACTGACACAGGGAGTCTTAGGGTGAATCACATCTCTCCCAGAAAGAATGCCAAGAGGTGCCATAATGATCACCATAATCATAATCTATTATTATTATTATTATTATTATTATTATTATTATTATTATTTGGGGACCAATGCAATTTGCCCTAAATCTCCCTGTGTAAAAAACTAGTCGGATCTACACTATCATTACCACCATCATAGTCCTTATTAGTATACTATTATATTTATTCAATTCTAAAACATACTTTCTTCCCCATATAAACATCTCTAAGAGCCCTTCCACACAGCCATATAACACAGAATATCAAGGCAGAAAATCCCAGAATATCTGCTTTGGGTTATTTGAGTCCACACTGCCATATATTTCAGTTCAAAGCAGAAAATGTGGGATTTTCTGCCTTTATATTCTGGGTTATATGGTTATGTGGAAGGGCTCTAAGACACATTTTGTTCTCTGGATAGGCATCTCTAAGGGCCCTTCTAGACAGCCATATAACCCAGAACATCAAGGCAGATAATTCACAAATATAATAGTATACTAATAAGGACTTTGAGCTGGGTTATCTGGGTTCACACTGCCATATAACCCAGTTCGAATCAGATAATGTGAGTTTTTATACAGCTGTGTGGAGAGAGCAAGTGAGTGAGTGAGCTTTTTTTTGGTTGGTGGGAAGGAAATCAGTGTGCATGTTACAATTGATGGCATTTTAGGGCCCTTCCACACAGCCCTATATCCCAGAATATCAAGGCAGAAAATCCCACATTATCTGACTGTGGAAGTAGATAACCTAGTTCAAAGCAGATATTGTGGGATTTTTTGCCTTGATATTTTGGGATATAGGGCTGTGTGGAAGGCCCCTGGGTTATCAGAGTCCACACTGCCATATATTCCAATTCAAACCAGATGATGTGGGATTTTCTTGAGCTATGGGGAGGGGGGGGGGGCTCACAATACCAGGACAGATAACTCACAAAATCTGCTTTGAACTGGGATATCTGTGGTCTCTTCCACATAACCATATAACCCATAATGTCAAGGCAGAAAATCCTACTATATCTGCTTTGAACTGGTCCACACTGCCATATATCATCCCAGTTCAAAGCAGGTAATGTCGGATTTTATTCAGCTGTGTGAAAGGGGCCTTGGGGCCCTTCCACACAGCCCTGTATCCCAGAATATAAAGGCAGAAAATCCCACATTATCTGAGTGTGGACTCAGATAACCCAGATGAAAGCAGATATTGTGGGATTTCCTGGCTTGATATTCTGGGTCATAGGGCTGTGTGGAGAGCCCCCCCCCCCCCCAGATAACCCAGACGAAAGCAGATATTGTGGTGTTTCCTGGCTTGATATTCTGGGTTATAGGGCTGTGTGGAAGGCCTCCCAGATAACGCAGTTGAAAACAGATATTGTGGGATTTCGTGCCTTAATATTCTGGGATATGGGGCTGTGTGGAAGGGCCCCCAGATAACCCAGATGAAAGCAGATATTGTGGGATTTCCTGTCTTGATATTCTGGGTTGTAGGGCTGTGTGGAGGGCCCCCCAGATAATCCAGATGAAAGCAGATATTGTGGGATTTTCTGCCTTGAGATTCTGAGTTACAGGGCTGTGTGGGGGGGCCTCCAGATAACCCAGTTGAAAGCAAACTTTGTGGGTTTTTTAGCCTTGATATTCCGGGTTATAGGGCTATTTAGAAAGACCCCCAGATAACCCAGTTGAAAGCAGATATTGTGGGATTTCCTGCCTTGATATCCTGGGATATAGGGCTGTGTGGAAGGGCCCTTAGAATGGAAGAAACGCGTTGTTATTATTTAATGGCACGCTTTCCAGAAGGGATGCCATTTGTCCTCGGCTTTCCTGCGTCAAAAGCTCCACAGTGGGTTCTCTATTTGCGTTCAACACCTGAGCTGAGAGGTCTCAAACCACCGGGGTCGTTCCTCTCTTTCTTTTTTTCGGCTCCGGGGCTGTTCTGGGGGGGGGGGGGCTTTTAGACCTCCCAAGGCGACTTGAGCTTCTCCGCCTCTCCCTCCTCCTCCTCCAAAGCCTCTCTCCATCCAAGCGCCAGCGCTTCTCTCCTTTCCTTTCCTTTCCTTCCCGGCGGTGGCCGCCTGCAAATGGTTAAGAGCAGAAGAGAGAGAGAGGGGAGGGGGTGAGGCGAAGGAAGGCGGGGGCAGTGGGTGGGCTGAGGGAGGGAGAGAGGGAGGTGAGGGGGGCGCTGATGAAAAGCATCCTTCTCTAACAAGCGAGGACCTTCCCACTTGGTTCTGCGGCTGTGCTGCTGGCGGCGGAGGGAGGGAAAGAGGGAAGGAGGGAGGGAGGGGGGCCTGTCTCTCTCCTCCCTTCAACAGCCAGCCAGACGGCTGGAGCCTCCCCTCCTTCCCCCCTCCCTCCCCCTCCCCTTTGGTTCCCCCCTCCCCCTGCCCTGGCCTCCCTCGCGCCTTCCTTCCTTCCTTCCGCACGCAACGCAGGCACGCACGGAGAGGCAAGTTAATGGGGAATAAAGAGGCTGGAGTCCGCGGCAAGTGCCTGCTCCTTACAAATGAGCCTCCAGGCAGCTCGGGCTCGCCTCCCCTCCCCTCCCCCCGCCCAAGGAGGGAAGGAGGGAGGGAGGGAGGGGAGAGGTGGAAACAGGAGGAGAAGGGAGGGAAGCGGAGCGGTGGCCCGTGCGCGCCTCTTGTTCTCGGCGTAATTTGCAGCCAATCATCGGGAGGTGTCCGCATCCCCGCAGCCTCCTCAGCTCTCCCGCCCTCTCTCTCTCTTTCTCTCTCTCTCTCCCCCCCCCCCCTCTTCCGCCTCTTGGTTTCTCCCTTCCCCCCGCCGCCACACAGCGACGCAGGCACGCACCAACAGAGGCGGGGGGGAGGGGGGGAGGGAGGAAGGGAAAAGGGGGAGGAAAGGGAAAGAGAGAGAGAGAGAGACTCCCCCGCCCTGTATCTCTCACACAGCGACGAGGGAGACGGACGGAGCGCAACGCGCCTGGAGAGGGAGAAAGAGAGGGAGGACGAGAGGAAGAGAAAGAGAGAGGGAGAGAGAGAGAGGGAGAGACCACCACAGCCAAGCGCTTTCACACATCCACCCCCTCCCTATACACACATTCAACGCCTGCTCTTTCCTCCCGCTTTCCCCCTTCCAACCCCAAAGCACCACACACACACACAGACACACACACAGCACTTCCAGGTATTTGCTTAGTGACTGGGCGTCTTGATTTCTCTCCCACCCACCCCCCTCTTTAACTCTCTCTCTTTTCCCCCCACTTCCCTTCTTTCCTCCCCTCCTCGCCGCCCTTTACAGTTTGTTTACAAGTATCAAAGTTGCCATTGAGCCGCCGCCAAAGACACCTCGGGATCCTTAATACAAAATATTCGTATTTTTAGCATCCTTTGTGTCAAGGGGAGAGAGAAAAAGAAAGAGAGAGAGAGAGATGTGCGACTAATTAAAAGGCAGAACAGGCGACTTTTAAAGCCAAGCCCCCTCCTTCCCCAAATCCAGAGACTGGTAAGTGATTATTTTTAAAGAAATCCCTTTTCTCCTTTCTTTCCTCTTCCTCCCTTCCTCTCTCTTTCTTCTCTCTCTCTCTCTCTCTCTCTTTTCCAGCCTCTTGGACCGCTGGGGTTGTTGTGAAGTCGATGAATGTGAGTCTCGGGGAATTAAAAGAAAAAGCGCCCCTGGATTAATTTATTAATTACTCTCCCCCTCCTGCCCCTCCTCCTCCTCTTCCTCCTCCTCCTCCTGAATGGGAAATGTGACCTTTGATCTCGCCTGGAGAGCAGAAATGCCATATTATTCTACCTCACACACAGCCATGGTGGGTTCTTCTTGGCTGCTTTTGATTATTTCTATTTTATTGTATTTTTAAAAAATCAATCTCTATGTCTTCAGACGCCTCTTTTACGCTCTCCAGGAGAGGCATCGATTAAACAATAACGACCCGGTTGGTGGGCACCATAATTTCCTAGTTTCTGGCAGCAATAATAATAATATAAAACCCCTTTGGATTTGGAAGGGGGAGGGAAAGGCTGCAATGGGAGCCAAAGGAGCTTTTGTGGGGGGGGGGGGGAGACACTTTTCAGTGCTGTGAAAATAGGGGCATGCACAGATGCATGTTTGTGTTCAGAGCCTTTTAAAAAATATATTATTTTAATTTTTAGTAAAGGATTCACACATTGTGTTGTCAAAGACTTTCATGGCCAAAATCACTGGGTTGCTGTGAATTTTTTGAGCTGTATGGCCATGTTCCAGAAGCATTCTCTCCTGAGTTTCACCCACATCTATGCCAGGCATCCTCAGAGGTTGTGAGGTCTATTGGAAACTAGGCAAGTGAGGTTTATATATCTGTGGCATGTCCAGGTGAGAGAAAGAACTCTTGTCTGTTGGAGGCAAGTGTGAATGTTGCAATTAATCACTGATCAAGATGATCAATTGCAACATTCACACTTGTCTCAAACAGAGAAGAGTTCTTTCTCCCATCCTGGACATTCCAGATACATAAACCCCACTTGCTTAGTTTCCAACAGATCCCTCAACCTCTGAGGATGCCTGCCATAGATATGGGTGACACTTCAGGAGAGAATGCTTCTGGAACATGGCCATACATCCCTCAGGGATGTATCCATACATCCATACATCCCAGAAAACTCAACAGCAACCCAGATCCATACATTTGCACTATGGATCCTGTGTGAGTAGATTTGCTTGCATTGAATGAGGAAAACTGCTCCAATGAAGTCATTGCTGTTAAATGGAGGTGAAGTTGTAGTTTGGATTTTGGGGAAAGTCACCTTATTTTTCTACTTGGAAGACTTCCTTGCTTTGTGTGTGTGTTTAGTCTCTTTGCCACCGATTTCCTTACAGATAGACATTTCCAGGGCTTTTGCCCCTGATGTGAAATTGCAGAGGTGGCTTCAGACCTCTGGTTAAGGTCTTTGAGGAATGAAAGATGCCTGCTGCAGATTCCTATCTTTTCCTAGATTCGGTCCCCCAGCATCTGGGTTAGTTTATTCCAGTTTTCCTTCTTGATTTGTCTCATCACTTCAGGGCTGAAGTTCTCTCTCTCTCTCTCTTTTGCTTTGTCCTGACTTTTGTGGAGGAGGGTTCAAAGAAGGCTGGTTGTTTTGTTTTTTTCAGCTGGTAGGTTGGGCTAGAAACGCTTCATTAGCCTAATTAGGGCTGCAATTAGTATAATTGATAACTATTTTTCAACAAGGAATGGTGCTTAAAGCCCTAAGGAGGCCCCTTTTGAGGCATTACTGAAGGTCTCAGTTTTTACTTTTTACAAGGCTTTGCAGAAAGGGACTTTGGATCTGAAAGAGGTGCCATTGCCTTGCCTTGCATCCTGTTTGATTTGTGTTTTGTTTCCTGAAAAGGGGAGAAAAGCATGCCATCTTCCAGTGTGTTACAAACTAAAATAATCTCTCTCCCATGGTATTGAGAGAATGGCCTATGAGAAGAGGGGTGGGGGTGGGGAAGAGCTAAAATCCATTAACTCTAATAAAAGGGGACAGGCAGTTTCATCCCACTTACATTAATGCAGGCTACCATATGCATCTTGCAAATCCTTAAAAGAGCCCTTACTATAATGAATATTAGAGGTTGTGTGTGTGCAATGTGCCTATATATGTGCAGACAAGATGCTGGGATGACCTTCATGGCTTGGCTATTTTGCAGCAAGGGGGGGGGGAGATGAAACTGCCTTCCCTTTATATCCCCCATCACTTCATGTTACTTGGGAGGAACTGGAGGAGAAAAGCAAAGAAAGCTGGCCTTGGGACCCTCCATGAGAACATAGGTAGGGTAAGATGCAAACTGATTGCTCCAGGTACAGGGAAATGGCCTTTGCTCAATACCATCCAATCCCTTATTGTTATTTGAGAAGATTAAGGGAGAAAAGCACTCCCTTCCCAAGAGAAACCTGGTCTTGGGGTGCTTCTATGAAAATGTAGGTGGGCTAAGATCCAAACTGATGGCTCCAGATGCATTAAAATTCCCTTTGCTCTATACCTCCCTATCATTTAATATTATTTGAAAGGTTAAGGGAGAAAAGCACCCCATTCCCAAGAGAAACCTGGTCTTGGGTGCTTCTATGAAAACGTAGGTGGGCTAAGATCCAAACTGATGACCCCAGATGTAGGAAAACTGCCTTTGTGCCATACCTTCCTATCATTTGTTGTTGTTTGTGGTGGTTGTGGGAGAAAAGCACCCCCCCCCCCAAAGAAAACAACAGCTGGCCTGGGAACCTGCTAATGAGGATTTGTGTGGACTAAGATCCAACCTGATGACCCCCAGAAGGACGCTGCTGGAGGAGCAAGAACTAAGATTCAAACTGATGGCTACAGATGCATTAAAATTCCCTTTGCTCTATACCTCCCTATCATTTAATGTTATTTGAAAGGTTAAGGGAGAAAAGCACCCCATTCCCAAGAGAAACCTGGTCTTGGGGTGCTTCTATGAAAATGTAGGTGGGCTAAGTTCCAAACTGATGACCCCAGATGTAGGGAAACTGCCTTTGCTCCATACCTTTCTATCATTTGTTGTTGTTTGTGGTGGTTGTGGGAGAAAAGCACTCCCCCCCCCCAAAAAAAAAACCAACAGCTGGCCTGGGAACCTGCTAATGTGGATTTGTGTGGACTAAGGATCCAACCTGATGACTCCCAGAAGGACACTACTGGAGGAGCAAGAACTAAGATCCAAACTGATGGCTCCAGATGCATTAAAATTCCCTTTGCTCTTTACCTCCCTATCATTTAATGTTATTTGAAAGGTTAAAGGAGAAAAGCACCCCATTCCCAAGAGAAACCTGGTCTTGGGGTGCTTATATGAAAATGTAGGTGGGCTAAGATCCAAACTGATGGCCCCAGATGTAGGAAAACTGCATTTGCTTCATACCTCCTTATCATTTGTTGTTGTTTATGGGGGTTGGGGGACAAAAGCTCCCCTCCCCCCAAAACAGCTGGCCTGGGAACCTTCTAATAAGGATTTGTGTGGACTAAGCTCCAACCTGATGACCCCCAGAAGGACACTGCTGGAGGAGCAAGAGCTAAGATCCAAACTGATGGCTTCAGATTTAGTAAAATTGCCTGTGATTTAATGTTGTTTGTGGGGGTTGGGGGAGAAAGGCACCCTTCCCCCCAAAACAGCTAGCCTTGGAACCTGCTAATGAGGATTTGTGTGGACTAAGATCCAACCTGATGACTCCCAGAAGGACACTGCTGGAGGAGCAAAGGGAAGCTGGTGTTTCTCTGAAGTGGGAAGAGAGGGAGAGACAGAAAGAGAGGGAGAGACAGAGACAGGAAGAGAGGGAGAGATGCACTTGATAGCTCTTCCGACTGAGAAGGGCAGGCTCTTAGCGCCTGCTTTGGAGGGTCGTTCATGCCTGTGAAAAAACCCCTGCCAGGCCCTTCTTTCCTCCTTTCCACTTGCTCATTTCCTCCTGGCTTGCCCTCCTGGCCACCCGTCTTGCCCGCCTCCTGCTTCGGGTGCCCTCTGCGTAGAGGATGTCGAGAGCTTGGCTCTTCCCCCCTCCCTCTCTCTCTCTCCAACACCCGCTCCCTCGCCTTTCTCTTTTTTATCCACGCCAGCCCTCATTTGCATGTGTTTAGCACTCCGATTGCCCCTTCTCTCCCTTGGCATTTGTCAGCCCTGCCCTCCCCTCCCTCGTTATTCCCGGCGATTAAAGCGTTTACTGGGGGAGCGGAGGGCGGGAGGAGGAGGGGGAGGGGGCGGAGGGGGAGGCCCCAGGGAAAGAGGGAAAGAGGGAGGGAACGGGAACGCAGGAAAGAAGGAGCAGAGGAGGAGGAGGAGGAGGTGGCGGCGGCCGGATCATGTCTTCATTGATTGTTATGCAAACGAGCTGCTGGGGTGACTGATGAGCATCTCGCTTCGGCTGGTGCGGTGCCCTTTCTACCCCCCCCCCCTTTTATTTATTGAACCCACAAGAAAACCCGGCGGCCTTGTCTGATCCTTCCCTCCTCCCATTCTTCTTTCCTTCTTCCTCCCCCCCCCCCCTTTCCATCCTTCCTTCAGTCTTCTTTCATTCCTTCCTTTTTTTCATCCTTCTTGGTTCTTTCATTCTATCCCTGCCCCCCCCCTTCTTCCTTCCCCGTTCCTTTATTCTTTTTCTCTCCTTTTCTTCCTTCCTTGGTCCTTTCCACCTTTTCCAGTCTTCCTCACTTTCCTTTTTCCTTTCCCTCTTTTCTTCCATCTTTCCTTACCGGTTTCCACCCTTCCTTCAGTCTCCCTTCTTTCGTTCGTTCCTTCCCTTCATCTTTCCTCTCCCTTTTTCTTTGCTTCTTTCCTTGCTTCCTTCTTCTTCTTTTTCTTTCTTCCTTTCCTACCTTCGTTTTTCTTTCTCTTTCTTTCTTCCTTCCATCCTTTTTCTCTTTTTCTTTCTTTTCTTCCTTCCTTTTTTCTCTTTCTTCCTTCCTTGCTTCTTTTTTCTTTCTTTTTCTTCCTTCTCTGTTCCTTTTTTCTTTCTTTCTCTCCTTCCTTGCTCCTTTCCACCTTTCTTTCAGCCTTCTTCCCTTCATCCTTCCTCTGTTGGCTTTCCTTGTCTCTTTCATTCCTTCCCTTCTCCTTTTTTCTTTCTCAACTTCCTTCCTACTTTCCTTTCTTCTCCTTCCTTCCTTCCTTCCTTCCTTCCTTCCTTCTTCCTTCCTTCCTTCTCCTTTCTCCTCTTCCCCTTTCTTCTTCTTCCACCAACCCTTTTTCTTTTTTTCCTTCCCTTTCTTCCATCCTTCTCTTTCCCCTTTTCTCTTTCTTTCCTTCCTTCTCCACTTCTTCCCTTCCCTTCCTCTCTCCCCCTTCTTCTCCCTCTCCCTTCCTCCATTTCTTTTCTTCCTCCATTCCTTCCTTCTCGGTTCCTTTTTTCTTTCTCTCCTTTCTCACCCTTCTTTCAGTCTTCCACCCACTCTTCCTTCCTTCTCTGCCCCATTTCTTGCCTTACCTCTACCTCCGAGGACCTTTTATCTTTCTCTCCTTCCTCCTTCCTTCCCCCTTCTCTTTAATTCCTTCCTTCCTCCGCTTGTTTCTTCCTACCAGTCTTCCTTCCTTCCCCCTTCTCTTTCCTTCCTTCCTCCCTCCCTCCGTCCCTGTCCCCTTCCCTGCCTTCTTCTGCCGCCGAGCCTTCCATCCTTCTTTCCTCTCCTCCGACATGACTTTCTTTCTTTCAGTGTGGAGCGTGGCCGGCCAGGGAGGAGGCGGCGGCGGCGGCGGAGGAGGAGGATGCTTCCGGAGGATGCCTGGGCGTCTGGAGCGATGAGGAGTTCCCCGCGAGAGGATTAACGAGCGGAGCGGCCCCGCGGCCCCTCCCTTCCCTTCTCTCCCCCTTGCCGCCGCCCCTGGGCGCCCCCCCGCGGCCCCCGTGGCCCTCCTCGGGGCCTTGCCCTTCCCCTTCCTCCCCCCTTCCTCCTCCTCCTCCTCCGGCCCCTTCCCCACCATGAACAGCAACGTCTGCGTGGAGCCGGGCCCTAACCCGGAGGCGCCGGGTGGGCTGCCCAAGGAGAGCCACCTGCCCGAGGCGGCGCTCAACAGCCTGGCGGATTACAACTCGGAGATGGAGCGCTACCGCTCCTTCGCCACCTCTTTCTACAAGGCCAACGGCGGGGCTTTCCCGCAGGCGGCGGCGGCAGCAGCAGCGGCGGCGAAGATCGCCCGCATCACTACACCTATTTTCCCCTCGGCTGCCGTCTCCGCCGCTGCCCGTATTGGCATGTCGCCCTGGAACTGCGACTCCGCTACAGCCGCCGCTGCTACTGCCATGCTCTGGGGCAGCAGCGGGGCCGGAGGAGGAGGCGCCGGAGTCCCCAACTCAGCCGCTGCCGGAGGAGCCGGAGGAGGAGGAGGCGCAGGGCTGGTGGCGAGGAAAGCCGCCGCTGTGGTTGGAGCCTCCGCTTCCTCCGCCGCGCCTCCGCCGCCTGGATCGTCTTTACACGCCAACCGGAGCAGTTTACACCACCGGAGTGAGTCCCAGCGGCTTGGGAAGCCCCCCGAGCAGCAGCAGCAGCCGCCACAACCGCCGCAACCGCAGCCTCCTCCGCCGCCTCCGCTGCAAATGGCCAATAACAACTTCCTCTCCTCGCTGGGCCCCGAGCATTGCAGGCCGCTCTCCGGCGAGTGCATGAACAAGCTCAAGTGCGGCGCCGCCGAGGCCGAGATCATGAACTTGCCGGAGCGTGTGGGCGCGTTCCCGGCCATCCCGGCTCTCGGGGGCCTCTCTTTGCCGCCCGGGGTCATCGTCATGACGGCGCTCCACTCGCCCGCCGCCGCCTCCGCCGCCGTCACAGACAGCGCCTTCCAGATCGCCAACCTGGCGGACTGCCCGCAGAGCCACGCCGCCGCCTCCTCCTCCTCGGCCTCTTCGTCCGCTTTGGGAGCCGCTTCCTCCGCCGCTGTGGCCGGGGGAGGAGGAGGAGTAAGCGGAGGAGGAGGAGGAGGAGGAGGGTCGGGAGGCGGCACAGGGTCCGGCAACCCGGCCAAGAAGAAGCGGAAACGGTGCGGGGTGTGCGTGCCTTGCAAGCGGCTCATCAACTGCGGCGTCTGCAGCAGCTGCAGGAACCGCAAAACGGGACACCAGATCTGCAAGTTTAGGAAGTGCGAGGAGCTCAAGAAAAAACCTGGCACGTCGCTCGAGGTCAGAGGCGATGATTTCTTTCTCCCCAGCCTCCCGCCGTCCCTCGTGAACCCCCTCCCCCCTCCCCTCCAGTGCTTCTTGTCTAGCTTCAAGATGCAGCACCCCTTCTCGGAAGCCTCCTTCCGGTTGTGAGCCAGCCCCGCACCCACGCACGCGCGCCCGCCCCACGCCATCACCGCCTCACCATTGGGCGCCCGGTTGGCCACCTCTCCATCATCACACACACCGCTGTATATTATCTCTATCTATCTATATGTGTGTGTATATATAGCAGGCATGGGCAAACTTGGGCTCTCCAGGGATCTTGGACTTCAACTCCCACCATTCCTAACAGCCTCAGACCCTCTCCTTTTCCCCCTCAGTCGCTTAAGTGCCTGAGTGGGAACAGGGAAGGGCCTGAGGCTGTTAGGAATGGTGGGAGTTGAAGTCCAAGACCCCTGGAGGGCCCAAGTTGGCCCATGCCTGCTACTTAGCCAGCCACACACCTACAGCCCAGAGGTCATGCCCAGAAGAAGGTGGTAAGCTTCCCCTTGTCTGAACAGCCCTCATCATAAGTCGTTCTACTTTTGTGTTGTCCAAGGCTTTCATGGCCGGAATCACTGGGTTACTGTGAGTTTTCCTGGCTGTATGGTGGCCATGTTCCAGAAGCATTCTCTCCTGACATATCACCCACATCTATGGCAGGCATCCTCAGAGGTTGTGAAGTACAATAGAGTCTTGCTTATCCAACATAAATGGGCCGGCAGAACGCTGGATAAGCAAAAAGTTGGATAATAAGGAGAGATTAAGGAAAAGCCTATTAAACGTCAAAGTAATTACATTATGATTTTACCAATTAAGCACCAAAACATCATGTTTTAAAACAGATCAACAGAAAAATCAGTTCAATATAGAGTAACATTATGTAGTAATCACTGTATTTATGAATTTAGCACCAAAACATCACAATGTATCGAAAGAAGCTGTGGCTCTGGGCAAGAGGCAGACTGCGTTGGATAATACAGAATGTTGGATGAGCAAAACTTGGATAAGTGAGACTCTACTATATATTGGACACTAGACAAGGGAGGTTTATATGTGTGTGAAATGTCCTGGGTGGGAGAAGGAACTCTTGTCTGTTTGAAGCAAGAGTGAATGTTGCAATTGGCCACCTTGATTAGCATTGAATGGCCTTACAGCTTCAGATCCTGGCAGCTTCCTGCCTTTGGGAATCCTTTGTTAGGAGGTGTCAGCTGGCCCTGATTGTTTCCTGTCTGGAATTCCACCAAATGCAGCACCCAAACACAAATCAAGGGATATGAAAGGCACTGCAGACTAATTCAACCAGAGAAGTCAGCCATAGCAGAACACTTGATGAACCAACCTGGACACAGCATATTATTTGAGGACACAGAAATGCTGAACCACTCCAACAACCAGCATGTCAGACTACACAGAGAAGCCATTGAAATCCACAAACATATGAACAATTTCAACAGAAAGGAGGAAACCATGAAAATGAACAAAATCTGGCAACCAGTATTAAAAAAAACTAAAAATTAGGACAGTAAATAAAGAACAACACTCAAAAACAGAGGAATTCCAGACAGGAAACAATCAGAGCCAGTTAATACCTCCCAACAAAGGATTCCCCCAGAAAGGAATCAGCCAGGCATTAAAGCTGCAAGGCTTTGCAATGCTAATCAAGGTGATTAATTACAATATCTACACTTGCCTCCAATACACAAGAGTACTTTCTCCCACCCCAGACCTTCCACAGATATATAAACACACATACACCCATTGCTTAGTTTCCAACAGACCTCACAACCTCCGAGGATGCCTACCATAGATGTGGGCAAACATCAGGAGAGAATGCTTCTGGAACATGACCATACAGACTGGAAAACTCAAAGCAACCCAGTAATAAAAGTTATCCTAGGGAGACTCCAACTTTCCCACTATTTTTTCTCCCCCTTTAGTTGTTTTTTTGGGTTATTATAAGAGGGAAAGTTAAAAGTAACTTGTTATTTTGGTAATTTCCCCCCAAAATTTTGGAAAATTTAAAAAATAGTTTTAAAAAACCCACACAAGTTGAGTTCATCACACTATAAATTAACCCCAATGAATCCTGTACATTTTGTCTATAAAGAGTTCTGTCTGGTGACTTGTAAACAACTTTTTTACTTAAATGTTGGAAACAATAGTGAAAGGTGAATCTTTGGAAGACTTGGAATATTTCCAAATGAATACGAAGCATCAGTTTTAATTTCTGACGTAATTGTGGTCAGCTAGAGCAGGCGTGGGCAAATTTGGGCTCTCCAGGTGTCTTGGACTTCAACACCCACCATTCCTAACATCCTCAGGCCCTTAGGAATGGTGGGAGTTGAAGTCCAAGACACCCGGAGGGCCCAAGTTAGCCCACGCCTGAACTAGAGGGATTTCCCATGCATACATAGACACCCCATTTTTACCCATTTTGGTCTGCTGTGTAGATTTTGCTTCATTTGGTTTTTAGGTCAAGGAACTTTTTTTCGTCCCTTTCCTTGCTGATTTTTCAAAACTGTCAAAACACATTAATAGCTAGCTCACTTTTAGGGTGACTTTTTAGGGGTGACTGGTGGTAATCCAATGCGTGGAACCAACTGGAGATAGAGGTAAAGTTGCTGATGGAAGTTTGCCCAAAAAATACTACACTTTTGGCAACCAAAAAAAAAATCATAATAGCCTTTTGTGGTCTGTTTTTTTATTACTGGGTAAAGTACATCTATGATTGAAGTTATTATGTGTGATTGAAATGTATATACATTTATTTTTTGAAAAGGCCTGTGCTCGGAATTGACAATGTATTGAGTGTTGCAGAGCTGTAAAGGCAGGTTTTCAAGTTTGATAGACGTGGAAACGACAGAGAAAGAGGGGGATACGGTGGAAATTTCCGTTCATGTATTTAGTCTTGCAGACTGCAAGGAAGAAAAACAAAAGTGTAAATGACTAATAGTATTATTTTTAGATGGAGGAAAACAAGAGGAAAGACTTGTAATCATATTTAAACCCCTGTCATTATTAAAATTATAGTGTTGCTGGTTAGATGAACATATCATCTGAGACTCTGTTTGGTGGGAGAGAGCTTATTTGGAGAGAACGGTACTGGCTGAGAGACGTAAAGTCACCAAAATTAACAACACAGTGAGATTTGTGCTGTCTGCCTGCAATTGTGACTAATAGGCATTTTGTATATTGATTTTTTTAGATATTAATGTTGCCACTAAGTTTTAAGTTTTCCATTAAAAACAAACTTGGGTGACCATTCCTTTTCTTTTGCCCTTGGCAGACTGAACTGTCCTTTCAGAAGCTTTCCATAACGCATTCTTTCTATATTTCCCATAGCTGCTTATTGTGCATATATGATCATTGAATTTCACACCAATGCAACAACCTCTGTGGATTATATTCAAGATGATAGAAATCAGTTGTATATAGATTTGCCTGTTATTTTGGGTTGCAAATGCACTCTTGTTTATTTCCTAAAACATTTCAAAGAATGTATATTGTGATTTTTACAATAAACAGTCATGCTGGATTTGAACACTAAACCATAGCTAACCAAAGATTTTTTTTCCTGTTCCTGGTGACTTTAATGGTAATTTCTTGTGCAGTTTTGTGATACTTTCTCATGGACACCATCCTCCAATCATCTAGTTTAGCTTTGACTGAGATAAGGCTTCACTACTGAACATGTGTATTTGGGAGTTCAACTCACTGAAAATAGTGGGCTACAGTGCAGTATAAACATGAATAGAAGCATCAAAGTGAATCCTCATTCAGCCCAAGAGAACAACTTAGCATTCATTTGCTTAAGTCTCATTACTTTAAATCTGAGGTGGGCAATTTGCAGCCCTCCAGATGGTTTGGGATTACATTTCCTTTCAATCGCTCCATTGGCTATGATGGTTAGGGCTCATGGGAGCCGCAGTCCAATGGCGTCTGGAGTGCTCCAAGTTTTCCCTGTTTTAAATGGAGGTCCACTGTAACCCTACACATGGAGGGATATCCCACTATGGTAGAGTCTTGCTTATCCAACCTTTGCTCATCCAATGTTCTGTATTATCCAATGCAGTCTGTCTCCCACCCGGAACCACAGCTGTTTCAATACATTGCAATGTTTTGGTGCTAAATTCATAAATACAGTAATTATTACATAACATTACCATGTATTGAACTGCTTTTTCTGATGATTTGTTGTAAAACATGATGTTTTGGTGCTTAATTTGTAAACTTATAATGTAATTTGACGTTTAATAGGCTTTTCCTAAATCCCTTCTTATTATCCAACATTTTTGCTTATCCAACATTCTGCTGGCCTGTTTATGTTGGATAAGCGAGACTCTACTATATTTGGGAGTTCGATGCACTGAAAGTAGTGGGTTGTAGTTCAGTATAAACATGAACAGAAGCATCAAAGTGAATCCTCATTCAGCCCAAGAGAACAACTTAGCATTCATTTGCTTAAGTCTCATTACTTTAAATCTGAGGTGGGCAATTTGTAGCCCTCCAGATGGTTTGGGGTTACATTTCCCTTCAGTCACTCCATTGGCTATGATGGTTAGGGCTCATGGGAGCCACAGTCCAATGGCATCTGGAGTGCTCCAAGTTTTCCACCCCTGTTTTAAATGGAAGCCCACTGTAATATAATAACTTATAATAATTTTATTTTTGTATCCCGCCTCCATCTCCCTGAAGGGATTTGGGATGGCTTACATGGGGACATGCCCGTTCAACTTAGTTAAAATACAACACACTAAAATTCATAAAAACAACATTGTAAAACAGTATATAAAAAAACAACCACAACATAACATAGTATAAAAGAACCACTGATCAAACCACCAGTGGCCTGAGTAGTAAACCGTTTCTGAGCTCGGGCAGGCGAGTTGGTGCAAATCACTTGCAAGGATAGGGCTGATGGGTGAAGTGCAGAGCCAGATGACAAAATTAGAAACGGAGGGCAATATGAAGTAGAG